TACCTGGACATGGACTTGCGGTACCTCTGTATTTGGTACTTGTCCATTTGAGGTTGGTTTCTCTGCACTTTCTGGTTTCTCGTCCTTTTCTTTCACAGCATTTGGCTTCTTTTTCTTGAGTTTGGCAAGAATGGATGATTCTCTTTCAGGGAATGGTGGCATTTCTTCAAGGACAGTAGCCTTTGTCATAAGACATAGAGTTATTAATTAAAAACTCTTTTGAGTCTTTTCTTTTCCACTTTTCTTTCTTACAAGACACTATCATATAAGTCTCATTCCAGCTGTGTTTTGCTTCACTCATGCAACACTCCCTGCTAATTGAAAAGCCCAATTCAAAAAGTAAAATTTATGATATTCTTGTTYGACTTACCAGCACATCTGGTGAAGCTACAGTGCTGAGTCTGAAGTACTCAAGAGCTCTTTGTTGTATCTCAGCATCGGCATTACGCAGATTAGAATCACTCTTTAAAATCTGAATCATAATAAAGAAATATTTGTGAAAAAATGATATAAATTTTGAAATGGTAATGCATTGCAGACAGTGAGATTATTGTATTACATAATTGTATGTGATGTCAAGAGTTTCAGCTTGTCTTTTCTCAAGACAACACTTCTTTTTGCCCATTTGAGATTTCTATGTTATCCTTTAGACGACAATGGGGACTCGGGTTGCCCAGTCTAAATTGGTCATACAAGGAAGATGGGAAGCCCAAGAGGAGCTAGAAGGACAAACATTTCCAGTGTGATATGACAACATGTTGCAGACAATAGATGCAAAAGATCACCTCTTGTAAATGTGGTTTTATTTCAGGGAACAGATTGATGAACTTGATGTATGTTGATAACAGTAGACCTCTTGTAGAATGGGCACAGAGAGGGAAYTTGCTGTGGAGAAGTTGGAACTGGACCATTGGACTACGGGAATAATAATATATTCTTGTATCAATATAGTRCACTAATAAGGATACTTGGAAGGAAGGGAGAAAGAAGCCAGGAAAATTATTGAAGGAAAGGAATGAATGAGATGGTTATGACAACTGAAAAAGAAGAAGGAAGAAAGAAGGAATGAAGGAAGGAGGGAAGGAAGGATGATAAGGAAATGTACATGTACATGTGGGAAGGGAGACAGGGAAGAAGGGTGTAGTGAAGGAAAGAACAAAGAAAGGTAGGAAGAAAAGACAAACTTGTTTGAGAAGAACACTTGTTGGTTTATGATATATTTACCTTGAACGAGGATCCCCAGCGATAAGATTCCCAAATTCACCCAAGATGTACCCTCCAACTCTAACCATGTTCTCATGGCATGTTGGCGACTGCAACGCTTCAAAAACTGTCTTGGCAGCATAGCCCTGAATGTCATCTCTGTTGATAACTATTTGTATGACACGGTACCACACTTCTTCACTGACGTAATCTCCAGCCAGGCGTATGAGGTTCAAAATGGTGTCAACATACCAGGTGTAGTTAGTTGCATACTTCTCTGCCAAGATAGCAACTTTGAGGACCTAATAAAGAGTGGAAAATAATCATTTGCCCAGAACAAGAACAAGAAAAACAAGAATGAACAAGAATGAACAAGAATGAACAAGAAGAACAAGAAGAATAAGAACAACAAGAAGAACAAGAAGAACAAGAAGAACAAGAAGAACAAGAGCAAGAAGAACAAGAAGAATGTCAAGAAGGACAAGAAGAACAAGAAGAACAAGAAGAACAAGAAGAACAAGAAGAGCAAGAAGAACAAGAAAAACATGAAGAGCAAGAAAAACAAGAAGTACAAGAAGAGTAACAAGAGCAACAAGAAGACGAACAAGAACAAGAAGAAAATGAAGAAGAAAAAAGACGAAATAAATATCATGCAGATACAGTAATATAAAACAATCATACATCCATAATACTAAGTTTTCTTGGCATTCTCACTTACCATTTCTTCCTTGATGGAGTAATCTGCTGTCTCAAGATAAGTGAGCATCTCAGACACTATCTCCTCTGCATTGTTCTTATCACACATTGCATACAACAAGTCAACAGCCCTTTGACGAACACTGACGTCCCTCTCAGTCTGAAATGACAAGCATCATGCGTAATGATTGGGCGACGATCAGAGTTTGATTGACAGAAGCAAAAGATATGTTGACAAGGCGTACCTTCAAAGCACCTATGACAGTTTCCTGGTGTTTTTTGACAGCATCGGCAGAGAATTCACTATTTGCCATCAAACATAACCCTTCTAAGGCTAGATATCTGCAGAATGATAAATATGATATTTTACTAAAACTGTGACTTCAAATACCAAGAATTCAGACTACAGAACTGTGCTCTAATTCATGCTTGCAGCCAAGAAAGGTAAAAAAATATTTGTTGTGAACCATATTTTCATATTTGAACATTGTCTAGGGCGGTTTGTTCAAACCATGATTAGGGTTAATCCAGGGTTAATTCCAAAGGTTTTTTATAGATTTAACTCAGGATTAGTGCTAATTGAGCTTTGGAGAGCCTGCCCAAGGACACTTTAGTTTATACCGCTCAATTCACTTAACTTTGTGCCTCAAAGCAACAAATCTAAATGCATGAAGGCCTTCTTATGTAGACCTTTCAATTCACTCAACCTTATGCACTAGCTTCCATACTCAACAAGATGACTTGTTGGCCTCAAAGTAACTAATGAAGGCTGTTACCTGAGATTAGTTTCTCTGTGAGTCAAGAACTGACCAAGTTGATTGCAGGCTCTGATTAGCAGGCTTTGCTCACTGAAATGTTGTAAAAAAAAACATTAGAAAACTTAAATGCAAATAACAATGTGTGTGCAGTATTAAATTGCCTTAAAAAATTTAAAACAATGAGCTTCCAAAATCTTTGTATTAAACAAAGTAGCTCCTTCTGATTTGCTGCCAGTCAAACCACTAACATAACCCCTGAAGGRATGGACTCAGAGGGGTAGAGAAAGGAAATGATTTGACATCCATAAAATGCTTACTTGTCCATGTGAATGATGAGGTTGATGCACTCAAAGAGCACTGCATTTCTTGCATTTGAATGTTGTACTTTCTTGGACTTTGGTGGTTCCTGGAATGGCAACAAAAATTTAAAATGTACTATTTTGGTATCTAATGTGAATACTGTAATTTTATTTAGAAATAAATATAACATGCCTTTTCTAAGAAAATGATTTCCTATATTTTTTTATTTTTTTGAACAGTGTTTGTTCAGTCTCAAGTTTTCAAGACTAATTTACATCTAATCATTTTTGAAGGTGTCTCCTTATTTTACTTTTTCCTCTCTTGATTGGCAGGTGTCAATCACTCACCTGWGCTTTGTTCAGGATTGTTTCAAGACATTCATGAAGCCTTGCAGAAACTGCTGCGTCATCTGAATAAATAACAATACCATATTATGATTGACATGTGTGTTGAAGACACCCAGCAACTTTTTTCATTCATGTAAAATGCTTATGTGACCTTGACCACAGGCAGCCTAATCTCAATTTCTAATACGATCTTTGTTTGATATAATTTATAAATACATTCTTCAGGTCTTTTTTTTGTTGTGCTAAACACAAATAAAGCCTTAATTTCCCTTTTAAAATAACGATCTTAACCAGCTAATTAGAAATCATTGATTCAACTTGGGCTGCCTTGATCTAACAATAAGTAATACCTGGTGGAGGGTAGCTTTGCAGTAGTTTGAGCAATTTGATACAAAGCCAGGGGGCTGGTACAAAGTAGTACGTATAGTCCTGAAGGTCTGTATAAGATGACGTCACAATCTAAAYAGAAAACAAAACCTCAGTTATTTTGAAATGAACAGCTGATATCAAGTACTATTAATGTGATTTATGATGGAACAGTAATTCCCAAAGCATAGCAATTAATTGTGGTACAAAATAGGGCAAATAATCAATAATATTTAATTGGTATAACATAATTGTATGCAGTACCTTAAACTTCTAGAGTTAGGAGCAATTGTACTCTTTTAAAGGCTTTAATTTGACCTCAACAGGATTTCAAGGTCCTTAGACTTTATTAACTACATGCTAGAAAATCTACCACCTTNCACTTTATAAAGATGTTTGCTCTCAGGCTGAAGCATATATCATAGGTCAAATGCATGCTTGGTGTTTAGAGAGCAAATGACCAAACTCTGGTTTACTTTCAAATCTCAAAACAAGAAATAATTGCATAGAGTAAAAGATCATTTCATCTGCCACAAATGTAACACAAAGCTAGCAGAAAAATGAGCTAATTTGCTGACTAATTTGTGGCTTTAAATGTATTATGAAATGCAACTAGATACTCAATATTAAGTTCCGAATAATCAATAGAGAGCATAATAATAGTATAGAGTGGAAAAATCAAAATTAACCAATAATAGTATAGGATGGAATACTAGTATTCAGTGGAAAAAACAAAATTTCAAGCTATATTTTTGCAAAATCGCTGACTTGTCCCCAGTCTCCGTCGCTATCAAATCTGCTGACAAGATGATTTGCGGTCTTATTATGCTGTTCGCTCGTGTTTTTGTTTTCATTTTGGAGACAAAATGTTCGTCTTTTGGGTGACTTTTTCAGAACTTTTTTCCCCGATTTTGTTAATAACTAATTAAGTTAAGAACAGAGAGAAAAAAATGTGAAAATTAATAATCGTACAGTTCCGAAGAAGGCCGTATAGAGTGGAATATTTTGTCAGAATAAATAAAAAAAAGCCTATATGATTATTTGGAACTTAAGAGTGAGTAAAGACAGAAGTCATATTCATAAATGTACAATATATTTGTCACAAAAAAAGTAGTTACCAAGTGCTTATCATTCAACARCTGTACAATYCTTGATGTCCACTCTCCAGGTGGCAGGATACTCTGCTTCAGCCTAAACAGCTTCAAAACACACAGCGCWGAACACTGCTTCACACTGTCAGTTGTATCAGGAGACACYAGGAGCTTAGGRATCTCAGAACCAAGCTGATCCACCATTTCTTGGTTGCCGATGTTGGCAATGCATTGCAGAGCGAGRCAAACAAAGATGGAGTTGCGRCTTGAGAGRTCGTTTTTGATGTTCTGAATTATGAGCTTGATTAGTTCRCTGTTTGCACTGACCAAAACAGAGATGAACAAATAGCCCTATGGAATGAAACAACAGAATACAGTCAGCTTTGCTTTCTTTATGCCCTGAATCCTTGAGCTTTAGAATTACTACAACATTTAATGATTTTACAAATGATTGTATGTACATGTATAATCTTGGACAAAAAAGAATTGTAAACATTTTTAAAATTACTGAATGTTGAAAAATCTCAGTCTGTATACTTCCTATTTTCCTACCCTTCCCTAACCCCCTTCTCTCAAAGTTGTGTTTTAGAGAGAACACATGCCTCCTTGATTCAATTTGAGTTTTACCAACGTTTGAGAGGGGAGGGAGTAGAGAGAACAATCTGTCTCTTAACCTTYGTGTCCAGGATTGTAGCTTTAATGTTAGCCTACTTATTGCCACAATAATAATTGCATTTAGAGCGGTTTTCCCGTCAACCATGAAAGCACAATAAGTCTAATAGTTAGTAGTAGTTTGTAATAGACCAATACTAATAGTCTAGCTTGTATCCGATTGATAGGTATAAACGCCATATTCATCACAAAAACAAGTTTTTTTATGTCAATTTTAGTGGTTAGCTATTTTTCTATAGTCTATATGTCTAAAAGTTATATTGACTATTACTAAATTCTATTAACTAGTTGGTCTATTTCTTTTCATAGTTGATGGAAAACCACTCTACCATTTTCAAATGACTACAATTTAGTTACGATTAATACACAATTAAAATGATATAATTAGAGGCCTGATATCTGACTGAATGTCAAGAGATGTGGAGAAAATTAAATAATTGCAGATTATTGCAAACACCTAATTATTGCCCTGAAGGTGTTTGACTATTATTTCCTATTAGAGCGATTTTCATAATAACATGTTACAAATTGTAATTGTCAAAGTGTAATAAATTGTGATAAACAGAAAAGTGAAAGTGAAACTTGCAAAATAAAGAGTAATTAATGAAAAYCCCTCACAGCGAAGTGCAAATTGTCAAAGAAAAACAAAAAAAAAACAATTGATTAGAGTTTTATTGGTTTAAAGCAATAAAAATCCATCACAATTCATGACAAAAATACCCTAATATTCTCACATTACGCCTTGATAACCAATTATTATAATGCTCAAGTGATGAAAATGGGTTTTGAAAATTCACACCTTTTTTCAAGCGTAAATATTGAAAATAAACAAAGCATTTGTTATTCAAGGACTGACAAAGTTTAACATACAAAAATACATGGTTACCTTGTGTGGTTTTCACACAAAGTTAAATTCCCAAAGCAAAATGCAAATAACACCGAATCAGTTTTCTAAGGCAGATCAAGTTTACTTAACAAACTGAAGAATTTGTAGAATAAACAAATAATTTGTTTACCTCAAAACACTTTTGAAACTRCATTGGACAAACATTATCAAAAAATTATACAGTATTTTGTACTTTTAGTTCAAAGTAGACTTCATGAACTCCAGAAAGAACAAATTCTGGATTAATTTAACCATCGAAAGTTAGTGAAAACATTACATYGAACATATTTTTGATATTCGCGGAAATTGCCTGTCATAATCTACAAGCATATATTATAGTGTATTCATTTTAACAGCTTTTGATACATTGAGATATGAGACACATTTAAAATATAATAGAGGAAATATGTCAGCGCTATTAAAATAACAAGCTACGATCCCAGTCAATCAATTCAGAAAATCAAATTGAATAGCATTTTCAATACAATTCGTACGCTTTCGTTGACAAACTCGACAGAACTTCTTTAGAAAATATTACGGTGTATAATTCAATGTTATGTAAAAAGATTATTACGTAATTTTTCGACAGGATGCTTTATTGCATTAAGATATTCAGATGTTGAAAGCATTTTTACAAACTTACAATTTGTTTTTCCGTGTACTTGTTCGATGAGAGCAGATTYACAGCTTCCATATGACCAAAGTCGATATCGTGACCCAAAAGAAAAATAAAAAGAAGCTTGCAGACGTACTTTTTCTTCTGATAACCGTCCAGGGTCTTATCACCTAGCAATAACGAATAATAAAAAGTTAAATTATAGGCGAGCAATCGATCTATCGAACCTTCAATCTTGTCATATGGATTTCACCGAGTTTGTGTAGATTTCCGAYACACGAAAAACAGGATCAAATACCTTTGAATTTGTTTCTTATGTTTGCGAGCTCTTTATTGATTCGCTTGATTTCTGCTTCTTTAGACTTGCCTGTTAAAAAAAATATAATATCATCATTTAGTTACAATATTATGGCCAAGATTACATCGAAGAACCGGGTTTTTGCATTTGATTAGACGTCTTGTACACGTGCATACGCCGCAGAATATTCGACTAAAAATCAAAGCTTAAGCTTGAATCATAATACTTTYGCTTACAATTACGAATATCAGAGATAAAAACAGCCAGTCCACGCATCCCTTCGCCTTTAACTGCCGGCATCTTGGTTGTCGGGTGTAAGTTCCAATAAGACCACCCCTCAAATGTCTGTGCTAAGGTCCTCTTGGTACGAGAAGTTCTTCAGCAAAATCACTGTTAACGTCTAGATATTGCCTCGAAAATCCCCCAGAAGTCGATAGAAATCCTTGTTTGAAGTCCTCGAAGGGTTGTTGAGGATTAATTTTGGAAAAATAGTGCCTTTTAGGTGTAAATTAGGGATTTCAAGACAGGAGACTCGATAAGATGGCAGCCGCCATCAAGCACTTGGAATCGAGGCTACAACTTTTGGAGCCCGCGAGAATTCAGCGGAAAGATAGGCGGGGCTGCTGTGATAGCGTGACAAAAAATTCTGTAACGCAAGCAATGCTTCAAGCACTCATAGTAACAATGAATTTATAACGCAAGTAAGAAGTGAATTCAAAAAATGAAAATTGATGAAAGAATGTGAATGGTAAATTTGATTGAAAAGTATGCATGTTATATGAAATGAATGTGATAAAAACTTTAGTGGGAAATGGAAAGAATAAAAAGTGGAGAGAAAAAGTTAAAGAAAAATGGAATGAAATCACATTGATGCRTATGTTGCATTATGAGACCCAAGTACAATTTCAGAATTAGTAGTACTATAACATGGGACATCTGAAAAATGGCTCCTAAACTTCCACTAAGCCTTTTCTCCAAAGTTGTTCCTTCAATACATATGACAATTAAATAAGAATCAAATTTTCAATTTAATGTAAGCTGATAAATGATTTCAATCTTTATTGTTTATAAATGTACATAGTTTTGATTGATATGATTATGATAATATGGACCTATAGTGAACTAAAGCAAGTTTATATTAAAGGGACACTGTCAATGGCACGCATGCGCGAGTAAACTTGAAAACATTAGGCTAGTGTTTTCAAGTTTATGACTCCAAGTTGCCGCGACATAAATCAGCTCGTAAACGTAAACAGATCTAGAATATTCCAAAGTGTGTCAAAAGCACCACAAAATGATTTACCTCGAAGGTGCAATACTTTCAAATTCCGTTAGAGGTGAGACTGTTACTGCGCATGTCATCCATTGACAGTGTCCCTTTAAGGGCTACAAAGTTTCATATTTTGGATCTATGCCCAAAGTACGTGCAGATAAAATGAATTTCAACTGGGATGGTTCATTTTTCATATAAAAAGTCTACAAGTAATTTTTTACAGAAATCATTATTATTCATTTACTCAAAGGATTTCCAAAAATATATGCATACTTCTTTTTCAAGGTAGTTTTTGTTTACAGATGGATCCATTGCCTTACAGCTGGCTGTGTGGGCTATCTATCTGCACAACTAACTTGCCCTTGTTCATCCCTTTATACATGTACTACAAAAAAATAAATAGCTTGATTCATGATCATTATATTGTGGCTAGACACATGAAAGATTAACTAAATGACTGGATGGATGAATGGAAAAAGAAAATATGAACAAARAGATCAATGAACAAATGAATTAATAAATGACGGTCCTAAAGGAGAAAAAGACGGCTGTGATTTTTCAATTTTTGAATGGGAAAATGGTATTTAATGTACTAGGGCTAGGATTTACAATTAAAACCGGGAATGGGATTGAAAAGTTAAATGAGAAGGATGGGATTATAGTGATTCTTAATTGGGATCTGTTCCAATATGAAATGGGAAAATGGGATTTGTATTCCACTCCCCTCCCCCCTCCCCTTCAGAATCGTCAATAGATAAATGAATAAATAAAAATTTGATTGGATGGATAAACAAATTAAGAATGGGATGAGGGAGGAGTAGAGGGAAGGGATAAATGGGAATGGAAGTGGGAAGGTTTTCCATACCTCAACAGCATCATAAACAGAGTCAACACCTYTAAAGGTCCCTACTGAGCTTTCTTCTCCCATATCAACAGCAGCTTTAAGTTCACCAGAATCATACATTTGAATAAGTTTAGGGAGGTATGTCTTTAGATCAGACATGTGGTTGAACAAGAAGAAACCACGTACACTGGCTGATTTAGTAAGAAGCTGTGAARAGAAACTAAAATAATTATTCAAAGCTCTCAAATACTCCAATTTCTAGTTAGCTCTTAATCATCTGTGTCAATGAAAATGTATTTATGGATACTGACCTTAGGGATTAAAGTACCATTTCTCAGCGGTGAAAACCCAAGGTTTGACTGATACCCAGTTATAAAACCTATAACAATCAGACGACCATTTCTTGCCAACCTTTAAAATTAAAGCAGTCAATGAAAGTTCAGCAACTAAGTAGCCAAAAAGACCTTAATCAGCTAACAAGTTGCGATAAAAGCTTGATAGACCTAATTCAAACAACCTGGGAGGTCTACTGGGCTTGGGATATGTATGTGAGCCTTCTATAATATGTACACTGGGCTGGTTAGGGGGGTTAGAGGGGTTCGGACGAAACTGCTTAAAAGGTCTGGTGTTTCTCTTTTTTAGTTCTATTTTAAAATTCTTTTGTATTATGAATTGTTTAAGTGCAGTAGTATTTTATTATGAACTGATCATTCTTACTAGCAGCCATTTCTTACACATTATACCTTTGCATTGAATCAATTCATACCTGTTGACACATATATCAAACACGTCTCCACCAATTGACTCGTATACTACATCGATACCTGCCTGTATACAAGAACAACATTAATTACAGTTTGATAGGCAGGCTGCTGGTGGCTTGTATTATTGGGCCTCACGCTCTCAACCGAAAATTTCTGGTTAGAAATCAGGAACAACAGTTTGCTATCTAAATATAAAACATTCCGAGAAAAGAATAAATCATTTTGCTTACCGGATATTCTGATTTCAAGACRTCATTCAGATTCTCAGCTTTGTAGTTGATCGCACGATCACAACCAAGACTCTAAGTAGCAAAAATACAAACAATCAAGATTATCACAGCTACCTGAAAAAAAACTTCAAGAGTTCATTGTAGGTCTGGAATAACTTTAGCTTGCAAGATCTTAACAAGATGCTCAACCTGGGTACACAAGGATTATTATACTCTGGAGGTTATAAATGCATCTTAACTACTTCATAGTTTCATAAACTTTTTCATAAACGTACCTTAAGAAGCTGGGATTTCTTCTCTGAGGAGCATGTTCCTATAACATGGCATCCAGCCTTCTTGGCAAGCTGGACCTTGAAAATTGAAAAAGAAATACTGATTTGAAGAAAGAGATCATTAAATATATGAATGAATAAAAGGATGAATGGATGGAAAATAGAAAATAATGCTCAATATTAGTCAATGGTGGCTGGATGAATTTGTGAGCTTAAAAACTCAATAGTACATAATTATGGCTAATTTAGTGTCATTGAACATCCATAATTTTAAAACAATAGAAAACAACAACTTACAGCAAACTGTCCTGTCCCTCCAGCAGCAGCTACAACGATAACATTAAATTAATTAATAATAAATAATATTTATAATTATTAATAATTTTAAGCATACCTGTCACTAAAACTGTTTCTCCACTTTTTAGATCACCCATCTATTATAGGAAATAAGCCATTGTAACCAATAAAACATTGAATTTCCCATGAGTCAAAAATCAAATCATTTACCTTATCAAGAGCCATGGCAGCAGTTAATCCACTAATAAGCAGTGAGATGTAGCCTGGATGGGCTTGTGGGACAGGAATGGCTTCTTTATGAGACAAAAGCTACAACAAACAACATTATAGAAAAATTGGAATTGGAATTATACTTACTTACTAAATTTGGGCTTTGTGTGATCTACCAACATACTATTGGGCTACCTGTGCTGTATTGACTTACTATTGGGTTTCCTGTTCAGGCAAAATGAAAGCTGTGATTAAGTATTGGGCTTCCTGTGCTGTACTTACTTGTGGGCTTCATCTACCAACTTACCCTTGGGCTGCCTGTGCTGTACTGACTTACTTACTATTGGGCTACCTGTGCCGTACAGATTACATACTATTGGACTACCTGTGCTGTACTTACTTGCTACTGGGCTTCCTGTGCTGTACTGGGTGTACTAATTACTTACTGTGATTGTTCTTCCAGTGCTGTAATGACTTACTGTTGGTTTCCTGTGCTGTACTTACTATATATTCAGCAAAGGCACCATATTTGAGAAAAGTTACAGCTTGACCAACTTTGAACCTTGAACTRATTTTCTCTCCTACGGCAACAACTTCACCTATACCCTATATTCAAAAAAACACAAAACATAATTCAATCAAAAARCTAAGTGTGACAGAATTACATTAATTTCTTAAAAGTGAAGGAAGGATGGCAGAGAACACTAGTCTCCCTCATGGTTATTGTGTGCCATATGGCCATCGTGAAAGGTAGCTGTGCCTTTACATTGAAGCGAGACAACCGTTGAGCGTGCAATGATAGATACCAGCTGTGAATAATTGTCTGTAGGTGCAATAAGAAGGTTTACGCTCAACGGTAGTGTCGCTTTAATGCAGGCACGGCTACCTTTCAAGTCAATGCAGATACCTCAAGACCAGCGTCAAAGGGTGGTTCTTGCCCTGGATTGTACCTTCCAGCACTGAAGTTAACATCAGATGCATTGATGCCTGCATACCTGGAACAAATAAAACTATTGTAATAAACCTTGACTTATAGATTGAACATTCACATGTAACACTTACATCTACATTGTCCATGCACTTCATGGCAAAGTCAATTGGGCTACTATAAATTTTTATTATTTAATAAGCACACCAAGCTATTGCTTTATTTTRAGCTCTGATTAAAGCACCAGGGAAGCGTGCCATACTCTCTAATAGCGACATGTCTTATAAAGTAAAATTGAGTAATTGTTTATAGATATTGTTTACGTTTTATGGTCAATTTGATTGGTGCTAATTCTGCTAATTATTGTTGTTCGTTGCATGGACTTAGTGGGCGCGCTCTAAGACACTACTTCTCTCAACCAAATAAGTAATACGATAAAAGCTCTTACCTTGTTTTTACAAGGAGTTCATCTTTGTCTGGGACAATCATAGGAGCAGTCACTGTTTTGACTGCCTCTCGAAAGTTCGTGGACAGTTTAGAGACGACAAGCTTTTTGAAGGTGTTTGGCAGACTCCTGGCGGCCATTTTCATCGAGATCTTTCAATTTTAAAACAGAACAAAACCAACAAAATAAAAATAAATACAAAACTGTCACGAAGGTCTCCTCTAGATTAAAACTTCATGCATCAAAGATATAGTGTTTTCCGCAAAACAATTATGGAAGTATACATAATATTTGCGCTACATGAAGTATACGGCCTTTCTCCCTTGTTCTCAGTCCCTTGGCAGCTATTCTAGGAACGCCTGGAGATTTATAGTGTTACTGAAGGCGCGAAAACACAGAATGARCTCGAATATTATCAGACGGATTTACTTTTGTGGTAGCATCCGAGGTGGCAGGGATGATGTACAYATCTATAAGGATATAATTAACCAGCTAGGCGCTTATGGCGAAGTTTTGACTGAGCATGTTGGAGATGTAGAGACRCAAGAAGAAGAAATAGGTGAGGAACGGTTCTGCAGCCACAGTATGAAGGAGTTTCAATTGGAGTTTAGCTGTAGAACAGATCAGAAAGTAGGGGGATTTTAGGATATTATTCTTGTTGATGTTGTTTTTTATTATTCAAATGGAAAGACTTTCAAGAACTAAAGTGATCAATTGCTTACGGCGCCCTCAAATCTTCCTCGTACCCTTCCATGATTCGCAGACAGACAGACTCTTTTATTGTATGAACGAACTGCTGTTTTTAGGGGATGACAACTATATCCATGACAGAGACATGAAGTGGCTGATGGCTTCTGATGGTTAGTACTTTAGAGGGATTCAATCCCAGGGGGTACGATATTGGGGGGGCACCACCAGGCCAACCAATCATTCTTCATATCACACTCCTGCTCAACCAATAATTTTTCATATCACATRCTCAGACTCAACAATTAATTTTTGATATCAGGTTGAACCAGTAATTAATTTCTTTTATATATTGTCGTATTTTTTGATAAATCAAATGTTTCTTCTTAGCTGTYGTTGCCGAGGTCACCCAACCCTCTCTGGGTGTTGGCTATGAAATTGGCAGAGCATTGGAGCACAACAAGCCAATATTATGTCTCTATCGACCTCAGCCTGGAAAACGTGAGTGCATTGTAGAATAGACATAATTCATAAGAATTAATGATGGTGACAGCCATGACCAAGTTACATCCCTTTTCAAAGTTTTTGTTTTTTGTTAAATAATCGCTGATAATCACTGTTTTTTATTTGACTTTGTTCAGGTCTTTCAGCAATGATTCGTGGAGTTAAGAGGCCTAATTTTATGGTCAAAGACTACAAGCTTGAAGATGTACCAGAAATTCTGAAAGAATTCTTATCACATTAAAAACTTAAATCTTGGAACTTGTTCYAGTTCTTCCTCACAAGGATAAAGACTTTAAATCTTATTATTAACCCCATATAAGGGCTGGTTTACTCTAGAACTAAGCATTAGCAGCCAAAGAAATGAACAAGTCTGAGCTCATGCTTAAAAGTGTAAAAAAGGCAAAACAAAAATCTCAGGTTCTGTAACTTACTTTTTGAGCTAACGTGAGCTAACGAAGTTGGTAGATTATTAGTGTATTTTTATTCTTCATTTGCAATACTTGTAACAGTGGCCATCTTGGTTGAATTCAATTGGTTGAATTCAACAAAGGATTTCTCATTAGTATCTATTGTTTATTCAACCAATATGGCTGCCAGTCTTATCTATGAATCTTATGGAAATGAAAAACAAAATATCTACGTTTTTCTGAGAATAATCTGTACTAATGTACAATTTACATTGAATGCTAATATTGTTTTAAAGTATTGTAACTCGATCAATTCATATGATACATTAAAGTTGCGAAAATCACAAAATTGTGTTGTTTTAATCATGTAAAACGTTGATGAATGTTTAGCGACATTGACGTTATTTAAACCAATATTGTTAATTAATATTGCTTTTGAAGSAAATTTTGAGACCTATCAGATTCGATATAGCTTRAATATAAACTAAAATGTCTWGTAACTGTAACTAGAAAGCTTTTTRTTAACTCTAAATTGCTATGCAATGTTACATGTAATGGCGATACAGATCATKCAACGATAATAACAACTTAAAACAACAAAAAAGGCAYGAATCCACAACACAAATAGCAGTGAATTTGACCAAAAGTTGATAAAACCAATTTYATAAGCAAGCAAATTCGAAAAATAAATAAAAACTACAAAACAAAGCTTTTCTGTGGATTTTACGGTGTTTTGCTCTTCTTTGTCTTTACAAATCCATTACTACTCACAAAGCAAACATTATCCTGTATTTACACGCAAAAAGGCCACCTTATCATGTTAAATCTTTCACAACAAAGCAATTAACTTTAAAGTTTGTTCAGCATAGTACAGCTTGTTTTTACAGCCGGTCTTGGCAACCGAAGTGTTGTAAAGCGGGTTGGTTAACGAGAAARGCTCATTTGAAGAAACCAACCCGCGAAGAGAAGATGAAGACGCTGATAGCCTTCTTCGCCTTGTTTGCTGTTACCAATGCGTGGTGGTCAACGCCTTCTAGTAAGACAACTATTCATGTAGTTCTTTATTTACAGCTCARATTAAGCCTCTTCTTCATTTCTCCTTCTTCGTCCTCTGTGTTCCTGTCGTTGTTGTTGTTCAGGTTGCTTCCTCTTCTTGTTCTTSTTCTTCAACATCTTGCTCTGCTCTATGTTCAACCTATGTTGGACCACATCGTCTTCTTGTCCTTTGTATCAATTCTTGGTGACTTTGCTCTTTTTTCTCTATTCCACTTTTCTCCTTCAGTCGTTTTCTTCTTCTTGCAATAGTTCTTCCTCCGTTTATGCATCTTGTCGCGTCGTCTTCTTCTTCCCATCAACTTTTTGTTCGTATTCGYTTCCAATTCTCCTTCTCCTTTCTCTTTTTTTCTTCGCTTCTTTATTTAAAATTTCAATTTTTAATTAGCAATTCCTAGGCAAAAACCCTAGGCTAAAACTAGTCTTATTCCGGCTCTTGTAATTTTAAGATTCAGTATCATGTAATTCCATTTTATTGACCTTTTACAGAGCCACAATGGTCAAGCCTATACGGTAAGCAACGTTTGCGTTTCAGCGCGAGAATTCACTATCTAATTGAAACTTTCAGTGCGAGAGATTTTTTAAATGTTTTAAAATTGGCCAAAATTCTGAAAATCACAACAACACTGAACCTAAAAACAGATACGTCTAGTGCTAATGTTGTAAGTGAATGTTTCTGTCATTTCTATGCTTGTTTTCGGTGTCTATTATGAACTATACCGTATTTACCCCGAATAGACGCCTCCCTCGAATAAACGCCGCACCTGGACCGTGAAAAATGAAATAAACGCCGCGGCGTCTATTCGAGTAAATACGGTAATAGCATAAATATTGTATCGTACACTGATTACGTATACCCGCAGGTACTGGATTTGGCCACTTGTATCATTTTGTACTGAAGTTAACATGATCTCTCTGCGTGTTTTTATCAGCTACCCCTGCAAGCTACTTTCTATTTACTTCAGCGCGCAGCACAGTTTCCTACGCATTTAGTTACCTTCCTCTAGTACTTTTCCTTTTTTTTTYCTTAGTTTTGCTGATAGTAGCTATGGAACGTTAGTCCTCCTTGCGTGTTTATTTGGCTGGAGTACTCAACGTTCAATTGTTTCTTACCTGTGTTTACTTACGTTAGTGATTCTTACGTCGTTTAGTTACGTTTAAGTCTTTCAACAAGCTACCAACAAAGACTTCCGACGCGGTAGCCGRTGGCTGGAAACTTACAAAGRCCTGTGACGGTACGTACGTAATCGTTAGATTAATTACGTAAAATCTTTGCGTCGTTCTTACGCTTTTACTTTTGTTTTAGCTAGCAACTATTTCGCTGGGRATCGTTATGTTCTGGAAGGAGATACTGCTGTCATGTTGCTATTCGGCGCAAATGGGCAAGTCGCTGGGATACAAATGGGGGTACTATAATTTCGGCTTASTTTATCTATCCATTCAACATACATTCTTTGTTTTATACCCGCCTTAAATATCAACAACTCTCATGTTTTTTYCCTATTTTTGATGATTTTTAGATACCGAAGTCYGTCCTCGGCACCAAACAGGGACCCTGGGTACTTGAAGGGGACATGTATGTGATGACCGCCTATTTTACGGACCCAAGCACCATATGCACAAGTACCAAAGAACGATCAGCATATGGGGACCGGCTCCTTATTTGGGATGGAGCTACAAATAAGGCAATCAGTATACCATTTAAGGAGGAAGACTTGKCTGGTTCTAAGTGGGTCAAAGGGAAGTGCTTTGTTGGGATGGGTAAGTGTCATTTAATTGACATTTTTATCATGCATAACCATTGATTTGAGCCCTTTGTAAAAAAAAAGCGTTAAACATTTATTACTAATTGTGCAATAGGAATCTTTGGCGGTGCACGTAACCATTACCGCCATGTTGGATGAAGATCACAAAGCATTCCACATTTAGTTTCTCTTGCTCATTCATCCAACATGACGGCGATAGCTTTACTCGTTATTTCTCAGGGGATCCCTAGTCATGTTGTTGCACTCGAAGAATAGTTGAATTAAAAAAAAAGGAATGAATAGCTTAAGCACAAATGGTGACAAATGTTTCAGGCTTTCATCTGGAAAGCACTTCTCAAATCAAGGCCGAAATATGAAAAACGTCGTCTCCCTTCCTTTTTTCTCCTTTCCACTAGTTTCCACTTTTCGAGAGTGTACAGGCCTGTAGGCTGCCTTACAAAATGGGGGGTTTATCGTATTTTCACATACAATAATGCGGACCTAAAATTAATTTTTAACTAAATAAGTTCAATGCACAGGTATGGTGTGGAAGAACTGGCTGCTAGAACGAACAGTTTGTAACAAAATAATCTCAAAATCAGTTTATAACAAAAGCATTTTAACATAGACCAATAAAAAAAGACAGAAACACCGGACCTTTTGAGCTTGTGGGGGTTCATTCCAAGGGCGGATAGAAGGGGGGGTGGGGTCAATTGGCTGACCAGTCACCCCCCTTTTCTCGAATGAAATGATAATGCAAACTAAATAGTAAATTATTGGGTAAAAAAAACGAGGATACGCGTAATTAGTCTTGGTAATGTATCTCTTAATTATGTGAATAGCTTTTAGGCTATTATAATACCTACTTCCAAATATTAGCCCTTTAAAAAAATTCACCCCCCTAAAAAAATCCTGGATCCCCCCTGCATTCGTCCGAACCCTCTAGCGTATAGACATGGTGTAATGGTTTACTTTGATTCCGACAGGTCAACACTACTGGTATGATATCTCTCAAGACATGAACTGTGACGACTTCTACCCTGTCTTCATCATGTATAATGGCAAAAGACTCAATGCATTTGGATGGAACACATATGGTGATCTGAAGAGTGATARATATGAACATCCATCAGCAAGCGTATTGAAGGTCTGTRGTAATTTGAAGAAACTAGCTCAATTAGGGTCCYATTTGCACCCGAGAGCCTTTGCGATCGTTTATTTAAAAAAAAAAACAAAGATCAGTTCAGTGAAGATTACCCTCCGAATGTATTATAATAAACTAACGATTAATTTTTCGTATGTGAGGAAAGCGCGCAAAGCTGGTTCTCGATTGCAARAGGAAACAGTGCTGTCAGCRTGACTATATATAATAGACCTTTTCTGAAATACAAAATCATGGTGCATTGTGGTCTACCTTTAGTACAAACAAYGCCATCTTTGGTAATATGAACAAAAGATACGGTTTAAACCGAATCTAGACCACAATGCAATGCAAACTGCTATCTCAGGAAAGGCTAGCCTGCGTGGCTGCTCTAGGGGAGGGGGGAAGGGGGGAAACGGAATGGGGGGTGGGATGGGAGCGAAAAGGGCGATGGAAGGAGCAACGCAGGTCGATTAGGCACCCTTTATGCA